GGAAGGAAAGAGAGAAATCTTACCACAGAGGAGAGAGGAAAGTGTTAGAAAGGCAAGGGTGAAGCTGTCTGCTGGGAAGGCTCCTTGGTTTATCGACCTCCGTGTTTGAGCGCGGGGCTAAAGCAAAATTAAATCAACATGAAAGCAAAGCAAACCCTGAAGAGTGAAAGCGAGCGACGCAAGCGCACCTAGTGAATGACAGGCGGAAAGAAACGCAAAGCCATCGTGAGCTCCCCCTCGCGGCCACGCTGGCTCACGCGTGGAGATGGTTATTTTGAAACTAGTATGCACACGATAGAATAAAGCAAAGAAGCAATCCTGCATGTCATTAGGAGCCGAGAGTCTCAGCCTAAGAGGAATGGAGGCGGAAAAACAAAGCTAAAAAATAACTATTTATGGTCTCAAATTCGAATTAAAAAGTTCAAGATAAAGTCATGAAACACCTTCTCTCAACACTGTTGCTAGTTTTGCCCCCTGACCGTCCAGGAGGCCACAACCTACCCCGTAGCCAAGGGCTCCCCTCGGACTCAGCTGCGCGGGGCTTTAGACCACGTTTCGCGCTGGGAGGCCTGGAGCGCCCGGGGAAGGGCAGGCTGCAGCCTGCACAGCGCACACGTGAGGGAGCCTCTCAAACCAGCACACGGGGAAACGCCCCCCCCCCCGTGACCAAAGAGGGTCAAACGCCAAATGGCAAGAGCGTGGAGCAGCTGGAATGTCTCTCCAGATGGAACGGCCGTTTGGGGAGAGGTGTCGGCAGGTTCTTATAACAGTGTGTGTTTACACACCTGCCTGTGACCCAGGAGTCCCACCCCTAGGGATTTCCCTGCAGAAATGAGGCGCACACCCACAGAAAGACTGGACAAGAAAGCTCCTCATGGAAGATAACGTAGGCTGCTTTATAAGAATCGAGTCCCCCCCAAATCTCCTCCTTAAATAATACAAAAGAATTTCACAACATCAGACACTCTTCACCAGACTACACCCCTGGCGCTACCTGAAGGCGTGGCACACCAAAACCTCGAGGTGACCATGAGTAAGAGGAGAAAAATCAGCTATGCCCAGCACCACCGTCCCTCCTGCCCCCATAGCCCCAGCCCAGCACAGGGAGGACGGGCGGCGGGGCCAGTGGGCCGCCACGGACGGAAGGCCGCTCTCAGTGCACGGGCACAGGAAGGGCCATCGCACTGACTGCGGGCAGGGGGCTCACGGAACTAGAGGCCCAGACCCCGCCACGGGCAAGGCGCTGCTACGAGCGTGGGTCTAAGTGTCCCAACCACGGACACTTAGATACGGGGGACACGTGATGGGATGGCGGTAGCAGCTAACCCTACGGTGGGAGTCATTTTCAGCTTATAAATGCGTCAAATCAGCACATCACACACGTTATGCGTACGTGATTTTAGGTGTCGATTACATCTCAGCAGAGCTGTGGGCCGAGGCGGGGGAGGGGTGCAGACATGTGACGTGAAGACAGATGAAGGGCTGGGTGAACAATTTAGAGCTGTCAACCCAAGAGGCCAGAGGGTGTGAACAGACGGCATGATTTGAAAGTTCAGCCTCCCAGACAGAGCTTCTGCGGAGAAAAAAGGCAAAAAAGGAGAAGGAACCTCTCACT